TAATTCTATCATAGTTAAGATTTAGTTTATAGCACACATAAGTTTACCTACTTTAATCTTACAGTTATGTTTATGTAGTTACATGTCACCCTATGTGTTCACTGAATCACTGGTCAGTATTTACTGTGTCAGTCAACTGCAGCACTGTTTAACATCAAAGGGGGGACTGGTTCACTAAAGCACTGAATTTCATTAGGTTTACAGCTTTGACAAAGAGGGTCCACAGATACTTTATTATCACCACCTGGCTGAAGAGGCCAGGGGATTTGGGGTCACTGGGACACCAAGGGTAATAAACAAGAGATTAGATCTAAAAGTCAGGAAGAGGAAGACAACTTCAAAGGCAGGACTATATACAGACACACAGGCAGGACAGTTTAATTAGCCAAACAGGAAGCCATATCTCATATAGTGTGGTTAGTTAGTAACACAGAAAGAAGTGAGTGTAGGAATTTAGACAGAGTATAATTTCCTGCATCTTTAGGAAGCTGCCATTCCCATTGGAACAGGAAGGATGCAGGAGGAGGACGGATGGATAGATGGACCAATAGAACAGCACGAGAGGACTGGAACAGCCTACAATGGCACATTTGAAATTGTATAAAATCATCTGAATGGAGGAGGACAGGGTTCCCTCATGTCCTGAAGACGAGTTGAACGGTTTTGCTGTTGAGGTCAGGGCTTCAGATAGAGATGGAACCCAGAGCTCTGTAAATTGCTTTATTCGATGGTCTGTTCGGTTATGATAATAAATGTTTGAAAGGTGATAGTTGAGTCTGATTATTCTTCATAAAAGAACACGCTGCACGCGCTTCTTATATTATAACATATATCCAAACAGATAGGGGGAACACATTACCTTTTTAGAGCAAGAGATCACCCCTCTGTCCAGGTCACATCAGTTTCATTAGTCGCAAGTAGTTTTTCACCCCCTCTCAGACAGGCCGTTTTTCCATCTGTGACCATAGATAGCATAGCACATGTTTTTGTCAATAAACGTAAAGATCTCTGTCACAACATCTTTGTAAGAGAGCGCAGAACCCTTGTCTTATCATCAACGACAAACGCGAGGCTTACAACGAACAACAAACATCTGTTTTAGCAGTCTTAAGGTATGCAAGCTTCACAGTAAAAATATAAATATAAAAGTAAAACAACAGCTGCAAATTCCATTATAAATAGTGCCTGTTTAAAGAGTGTTTTGAGGGTGCGCAGACACATACATGCATCAGCATGGGTCCAAGGAAATCCCTTGG